ACGCATAACTCGGGAACCAATAGAGCTACAGCGCCGCGGAAAAGCGCATTCGATAGCCCTATCAACGCCCTTTCTGACTAATTCTCTCAGATTTGACCTAACGTCAACGGTTTTGCCTGCAGGGGGCAAAAACGGCAAAAATATCCGATTTTTTTTTTCGAAAACAGTTTTTCTGCAATAACTTTTGACCCAAGCCTTGTACGAGCTTACTTTTACCGGCATCGTGTTCCTCTCGTCAAGACGCATCGAATGAACTATAACTTGACCTTGAAAGGTCAACTTGAAAATTTGACCTCAGGTCAAGGTCATGACCTGACCGAAAAGGGTCATGTTGCATATCAGTCGATCCGTATCGTCGAGCTGAACACATCTAAGGCGTTTTCATCGCTCTAGCATGCCTCTATCAAAAGTTATTTGCGAAAAAAAAAACTGTTAGATACCATTCGTGACCTAAGATGACCTCAGGGCATGAACAAGGGTCACGGACACTATTTTCATGTTCAGTGTGTCTAAACCACTTGTAATTCGGTGTTTGGGAGTGTTTATAATGTCTTTCATCCAAAAGAGGTGCATTTCAATTTTCTCCCATTGACTTATAATGGGGAGGTCGCAAAACTGACCTGACCTTAGGTCATCGATATCAAAATTCTGAGATATACATTTTGTACATGCTATTGCTCTTAGCAATCGCTGAAAGTTTCAAAGCGATCGGTCACTCGCTGTAGCTATGACAGACATTGAAAGTTTTTATGAGGTGAGGTCACTTCAAGTGGCCTGGGGACCTGACCTTGAATGACCTTGGTCTGAAATTTTAACAACATATGTAGAATTGATGTATGATAAGGTGTACCAAAAACGGTGGCGCGGACGTTTTTTAGATATTCGCGAAAAACCACAAGGGGGGGGGTGTTCAAACACCCCCCCCAGCAGGGCACGGGTTAATGGTAAAAATATAAAGCAATTCGAGGTTCTTTGCTCTTAAATGATGTACAAAAAGGAGAGATACATTCCTTTTGTAATTCATTATACTTGTTGAAAATAATTAACATTTTATAGTAAATGGAAACTGAAAAATGGTTCAGAATAGATAAATAAGCAGAAATATGATTGTATCGGTACTCTAGGACCATGCCGCTTTCTTCCAGCGGCATTCATAGGAACAGAAAGAGGACGTTCTTGCGGCAACTTTCCGGCACCCTTATTATCAGCGTTTTGATGTATGAAATGGTACAGATTTCTTCAGCCAGTCAAACTGGCCAACTCAGAAAATGTAGATGATCTTGGCTGTGCTGAAATATTGGGCCCAGCTTCATTCATTTTTCATTTTGGTAATTTTTGCTTTTCTATACTACCACTGTGCTTTCCTGTGTTAATTTTCAATATATAAACTTTCACTTTCAACAAACCAATTTGGAGATCAAAATGATGCTACCTTAAAAAATGATTTTGAATTGCATCGGATAAGTATTAAGTATGGTGGCAAAGTCACCCCATGTGGCCTGCGATTCACTTGAATAAATCTCAACCAAAAATTTTAGCTAAATGAAGTGACAAATGTTAGTTTTGTTGGATATGCTAACTAAACAGCATTGTCATGATCAACCATACCAAGTTTCAGCATCGCAGTTCGTCTGAAACATGGTTAGATAATAAAAAGTTCTGACCTCTCCAAATTTGACCATTTCAATGACTCCAAAAAATGGAGCCAAGTTAGGGATTTAGTGGTAACTTGTCTCTCATTGTTGGTTATATTGGAAGGCCCATCAATTATCTTTCATGCGTGCATAAAAAAGTATTACATTCTTCGTAAAATGTCACTGGAGATCTCCCTAAAGGCTTTTTCGAGAAGCATGGCAAAGTCACCCCGCAAGGCAAAGTCACCCACATTTATGGTAATAAAAAAGGAATAACACCTAGGTAAAAGCAGGTAAAGGCTTCATAAAATATTATCCAAATTATGGTAGCTTTCGAAAGCACAGCGGCTTTCTTCCTCAGCCTAGACAGTTAGACACACATAGAATCAAATCAAAATTAACAATTCATCCTAGTCGTTCGTTTCGTGATATTAAACATCGTTTGGATACGTATAAGTGGCGCACATTAAAATTTCCAAAATTATGTGGTCACATGCTTAAATTCCAAGAAGCGAAGACTTAATTTAAGCATGTGACCACATAATTTTGGAAATTTGAATGTGCGCCACTTATACGTATCCAAACGATGTTTAATATCACGAAACGAACGACTAGGATGAATTGTTAATTTTGATATGATTCTATGTGTGTCTAACTGTCTAGGCTGAGGAAGAAAGCCGCAGTGCTTTCGAAAGCTACCATAAATAAAAAGTACCTGGTGTTTCGAATATTCGTCCTAAACATGATTCCTTCCCAGGTGAATAACAATATTTATCATTATATCCAAATTAACCCTTAGCTGTATTTCTGGATTTTCGGCAAGTCCAATTACATAATACAAAACTGGCGCTCTTATTTATCTTTTGTTTATCTTTTGTTATATTGTGTCGTATGTTTTACTGTATGCTTTATCTTGTCTCGAAAAGACGCATAATAAATTGATTGATTGATTGATTGATAATACAAAACTGGCGCTCTTATGTTCTAACTAGTGTGTGAGTGAACGATAACAGAAAATGCTGATCAACGAAGCCAATGGAATTAGATTATAAGGGAGCGTAAACCGTACTTACGGTTCATTCACATGATGTGGTAAACCCTGAACACGACATTACTTACGCGAGTTGTTAACTTTACTAATAGAATGACGTCTTTTTCTAAAAATGTTAAAATTTGATTATACATTTTTGTTTGAGAGCGATTAAATACCGCAAAACCTTAATATAAAATAATCATCAGTTTTAATGGCCGTTTGTGGAGATACGAAAAAATATTTGCTACTTCTTTTTTATTGACGTCATTAAAAACTCCAATAAACTTTTAGATTGAATGAGGCAATTGTGGCTCACACGTCCTTGGTGATTTGAGCGCAGCTTGAAGAAAAATGAAAAATCAAATTGGAAAAATCAAAATACATGAATGGTGTTTTTCTTTTTTGATGATCACTAGTGTTTTGATGCCTTGCATATCAAATTAGAATGAGTTTTAGACTTGCTCAGAAGGTTGCTTCATCAAGCCTGGCATAGCACACCCCAGAAAATATGCAAAGTAAGAACAAGAAAAAAAAAACAAGAGTTTTAACTATCAGGACAATCACTAACAGTTCATCAACTTCAGTTTCATTTTCCAAAACATTGATAATGAAAAGTTCCAGGGTCTGTTCTGTCCCACAACCATGCTTGTAGGCATGTTTCATGAGCTCGAGAATCTATAGCCCATTGCAATGTGCTTTTATCTTTATGTTTTAACTAAAAACAACATAATATATAGTATTTGGTTGCATTTCAATAAAAGTATCCACGGCCGGCTGACGGCTGGCTGCCCACAGTTTGCCACGGCTGTGGGCGGCTGTGGCTGTGGAGCCACGGCTGCGGGGCGGATAGGCTGTGGAAAATTGCAGCCGTGCAGAACTCTACCTTCCGGCCACCTTCCGCGCGGTGGGGGGAGGATTTTTTTTTTGCCCACCCCCCTCGTATCTCCGAAACTCCTGAACGGATCCGGAAAATTCAAACGGAGTTCGATAGCCTTGTCAAATTTGTCGATGGAAACCAAATTTCATTGACCTCGGGGTCACCGATGACATCACAGGGCAGGTCAAAGATAAAATGTTTCACCGTTCACGGGGCTTCTAGGGAAAGCGCTATAACACCGAGTAAAACGCATTTTGTCGAAAATCAGCGATAGGGCGTCAGTTGCCTAGTGCATATGTTGCTATTAGAGATCACTGAAAATACCAGGTCAGGTCACAGGTCAGGTCACCAAGAGTCACCAAAAGTCACCACATGAACCAAACTTTACTAAGGTTGTGCGATGCATGTTTTATGGTCAATTTTTCATTTCCTACTCAATGCTGTTGGTTATAAGACCATCAGGTACGGTTTAGGTCACTTTCTGGTTGAGGTCAGGTCAAGGTCAGGTCAAAAAGGTCAAATTTTAAAGTTGTTAGTTTTGCATAAAATAGGTATTGATTCCATGCAGCTCGTCACGGGGAGTCTAATGGTGGTCTTTGTTTTGCGATACGAGGTCTAGAAGTGGTAAAAATTGAGTTTGAATATTTGACGTCATCAATTTGGAACAGTTTTCTTCGCTATAACTTGTCCAAAAAAGAGGTATCGATCTCAAATTTGGTATGTACATAGAAGGCGGTAGGGAGTATCACATATACTCCGGCTTTTTCGAAATTCAAAAAAAAAATATTGGATTTTTCGTTTATTATATTAAAAAAACTTTTTTTGAGGGTTAAAATCAAAGAATTTCAACAAATCTGAGATAGCAGGTTTGTAGCTCCCTTAAATCTACATCTTTTATGTTTGAAACATTTTTCTGTATCTCTAAAGCTGTAGGCCTGACAGCTCTTCCCGCGAAACCTTTTTTTGGTCGAAAATGGCAAAAATGACGTCACTCTGACGTCATTAGCGGCCAACCTATCATAGCCTTTGAAAAAAATATAGTCACAATGTGCAATAGTTATTCACGGAAGGGTACTGAAAGTTTGGTGACGATCGGCGCAGCGGTTCTGGAGATATATCGAAACAAACTAAAGGGGGGCAAATAAATGCCCCCCCACCGCCTGGAAGGTTAACATTTGACCTTTTTTGACATGAATGTGACCTGACCTCAGCTATATTGAGCTAAAAATGGCCTCAAATGACACAGGCGATACCGATTTCAAAATCTATGTCCTAAATGAACCATAAAACATGTGTCACCTGACCGATGCATGATATAAAATTTACGTGACGTCTGATGACCTGACCCTGACCTGAAAATCGAAACACAAGTTTAGCACCATCAGGATATCTAAAGCACCTATTAACCAGTGTGTAAACCAAAAATGAGCCTGATCTGCTGAAACCAACAACTCACCAGTGTAGAAATCCCGTATGTCTGGCTCATCGCGACGGATTACTGCTGCCTCCCACACATGCATCAGCAGAAGAGGGAACTTGTCAGCTATGTAGTCGACCAGTCCACTCTTGCTGTCGCCCACAATGCGTCGTCCTTCTGCAGGTATCTTTTTGAAGTGGTGCAGCTGCGTAAAGAGCAATACTCGTATGTTACGGCCGAATGTGTCAACTTGGGCAGCGTGCAAACTGCCCGGGTTGCATGCAAACTTTATAACCTATTGGGCAGTATCAATTATGCATACTGTCCAAAAAACTAGACATTGTTAAGTGCTCGAGCGAGGAACATATTGAATACAATTAGATAAGTAAAAGAAATTGACCTTTTCCTCGACATTAACCCTCGCGGGCCCGGGGGGGGGGGCGTTTTTCGCCCCCCCCCCCCTGGCGAATATTTGCGATAGCTCCCGAACGCTTAGGGATAGGAAAGCGAAACTTTCAGTACCTTTTCTCCCATCAATTTGACATCTTCTGAAGTAAAAAATTTGGACCTAGCCCCATTGATGACGTCACAAGGTCCATTCTTCTAGACCCCTGCACGGCAAATTTCGGCGTCACAGACGCAAACTTCAAATAGCTGCTAAAAATAGAGTTTTAGAGATAAAGACAAATTACGAGCACGGTTGTGTAGCGTTTGACCTAGAGAAAAATAGAAAAATAGTTTTGGTGACCTGAGGTCAGAGGTCAGGTCAACGACCCCGAAATGTGGTTTTAGTTTTTCGCAAATAACTTCGACAAAAAAGGTCCTAGAGCTACGGCAATGGTACCATCGCATTCGCCTTGTCAAGCCACGTCGAACAATATATATTTTGTTCGGAAAAGGTCAAGTTTTATGTTGACCTCATGTGACCTCGAATGACCTCTGGTTGACCTTGACACATGAGAGGTCATTTATGATGGATTTGTACCCGCTGATCACGAATCTGGCATCTATTTTCCTCTAAGCCTTCACTTAGAGCTTCTGGACGGCAAAATTGTCTTATTTATTATTACTAACTTGAATCAGTGAAATAGCCTCTAGCAGGGATACTCTTCCGTGACCTTGACCTTTGAGCAGCCTTGTATCGTAAGATGAACCACAAATAGGGAACTGATAAGCCTCAAAACATTTCAAAACATCTTGGAAGCTAGCACGCAAGATGTGCGAAAAAGTGCCAAGTTTGAGGTCAATTTTGACCGTGACCTTGACCTTGACCTTTAATTTTAAGCGCATTTTCGGAATCCTCAGATTCTCTTCTTTCGTTTGACACCCAATTTTGCCGGTTTGATGCAGCCTGAAGGCTTACTTTGAGATCACTACACATGTGCCGGTTTTTGCCTTTGACCTTGACCTCTGACCTTGAAAATTGACCTGAGGTCAAAGATTTTAGGTGCTTTAGAATCGTCTCGTAAGGACCTTTCGTTTGGTATCGCTTTTGTTTCCGTAGCTCCCTTATTTACGAAGTTACACAGGGGCGGGGGGGGCGAAAAACGCCCCCCCCCCCCGGGCTGCGGTGGTTGGGATTACCCCCCGGGCCCGGCCGGGTTAAAGATGTAAACAGCCGAATAATGTATTTAAAAAACGGTAGCTTTCGGCCACTGGCCTTAATCAAACAAACGTTACAGCAATTAAAGACGATCCTGTGAATAATCTGGAATAATCCATGTCTGCCATTTTTCAAAATCCTAAGACCGTGATATTTTAGGCAAGGTGCTACTTTTAAGGGCAAACTATTCGATCGACCGATCGTCTAGTGCCAGGCGTATGCAACATATATAACATACAGTTGTACAGTATATCTAAAAAGTATGTCCCCTGGTTTGGGTCTCCCGCAGGAGGCAAATCGGTAACTTGGCTGAAACCCAGTTGCGGCACCCGGCCGCCAGGGTCGCTGCCGCGCGAGCGGCATTGACCGCTCGCATGTCATTGGCAGTTCGGTCCCTCCCCATCTATACCGAGGTGGGGAAGGGAGAAGAGGGGAAGAGAGGGGAGGGAGCGGCATCTGCTTGGCACTGGGCGATACCTGACTGACCCCGCGCTCCCTCGCTGACCTCCGTCCTGCCCTCAGGCGAAGACCGACTTCCTCGGCCCGTAGCGGCCGAGCGGAAAACCGAGCTCGCGGGGCGCGACTCCATTGGCCCAATCTTATCCCGCGCACCGACGGGGGGGGGGCCGATATCCGCCCCCCTGAGGTTTTTCGCGAATAGCGGGAAAACCGCGGCGCGTAGCGCCGCTAAATTTGGTATGACTATAACCTCATCAATTTTACACATGGTGTGCAAGTTTGAACCTCCTACCTTTTAACCCTCGCCCTGGCAGGGCATTTTTCATAACACGGCCTGGCAGGGGGGGGGGTCGATGCGACCCCCCCCCCCCTCGCGATTGGCTCCTATGGCACCTAGAAACACCAAATTTGGTAGGTAGGTGGGCCCCCTGGAGTTCTCGCCCCTGTGCAAATTTGGTTGCTCTAGGTCAATATTTAGGGGGGTTTTGGGGGGTATAAATGTAAAAATTTCGCTAAAAACAGGTCAAAAGTTTTTCGCTTATAACTTTTGATCTAATTAAGATAGAGCAAAAAGAAAAGCACCAGTAAACTCAGCACGTCAAGGCGCGTCGAATGATATACTTTTTAGCTTGCTTGAGTGTACTTAAAGTTTTTCTTAAATTTTAAGTAAACTTAAATTAATAAATTAAGTTCAAGTTAACCAAATTGCATCATATCGCATATCATTCGATTCGGCTGATCACCAGGAACACAATGATACCATTTTTTAAGCTCTAGCGTCATTATGTGCCAAGTTATTGGCAAAAACGTCATTTGACCTCAGTTGACCTCATTTGACCTGACCCATGGATAAGTACACCAAACAAAGAAGCACCAAGTGACCTGCTGTTAAGTACCGTGGTTTCAAAGCACAAAAGTGATAGAACGAAGCGGATATCTCCAGTATTTTCCGAATTTAGTATTTTCCCATAGGCTTAACATTACGACGTAATGACCTCTAACTGACCTCAGGTCAGTGACCTCAAAAAAGCCGGACTATATGTTACACAACTCGGTGAACTTAGCACATCCTGAAAGTTTGAAGGAAATCAGGCGAAAACTGTGAGTTGGACAGGTGCAAGAAGAAAATTGAAATTTGACCATGACCTTGTACCGGTTTTTCTGACCTGATGACCTGACCCAAGGTCACCCGGACCTGAAATTTTCAGGTCATATGTAAAAAGGTTGCCCCATAGGCTGTGCCAAATTTGGCGGCGCTGCGCGCCGCCGTTTTTACGCTATCTTCGAAAAACCTTAGGGGGGGGTCGCATCGACCCCCCCCCCTGCCAGGGCGAGGGTTAAGGTCAGGTCACCAGGTCACTTTGAATGACCCAACCTCAAGTCACTTTTTTGCAACTTTGTCACCGTGCCAGAGCTACAGTAGATGTCGGAGGCCTTTGAAAGTCGCAGGATATTATTAGGTCATTAGTAGCTACAATTTGTATATCTCAGAATTTTGATATCGGTGACCTAAGGTCAGGTCAATTTCGCGACCTCCCCATTATAAGTCAATGGGGGAAAATCAACTCCCTGTTTTTACCACTAAAACGGGTCGGAATAGCCCCATATACCATACATGACTTCATATACGATCAACCTTCACTACCTTGAGGTCTGTTTTGCTGTTGGGCAGCTGTGAGGTCATGTGACGTCATCAAAGGTCACCAAAGGTTTTTGGCCAATAACTCCGTACAGGAACAAGATACAGACGCGTGGATGGTCTCATTGTGTTCAGCTCGTCAAGACGCATCAAATGATATACATGATGACCTCGAGGTCACGTGACCTGAGGTCAACCTTTGACCTTGACCTTTCGAGGTCAACATATATATCATTTGATGCGGATTGACGAGAGGATCACGATGATGCCCTTAGTTTGTTCCTATCTTGACTAATTCGAAAGTTATTCGAGAAAAACTCTCTCCATATCTAGCGCCGCCATTTTGACTTTTTCGACCCCTGTGACGTCATCTTTGACCTGACCTGAAAATGACCTGTGTAAAAATTGTAGATCTTGGCCGTGCGTATCCGATGCCGTTTACCGTTTGTCGCTATCTTGCTTTGTTCTCGAGATCTCAGGGGGGCGGTCATCCGCCCCCCCCCGTCGCACAGTGTGGCCAAACGCCAGATTAGCGCGAATTTAATCAAAAAACGAATTTTGGAATTTTGACTTTTTATAACTATCAGTCGATAGGAAATTGTCCAAAGTATGTTAATATCACAATACTTTGGTTCAATGTCTTCCTTTCGGTGTCCAAAAAGCTAGCTAAAGTGGACATACGCAATGCCGGTCCCGGCTGTGCTGAAATCGTCGAAAACCCGCGTCATGTTTACAACATATTTTGGCGTAATTGTCGGAAAGGTTTGGAAATAATTGGAGTGGCATATGACTACTGAGCCTATATTTGATAGTATACCCGAATTCTATAGGTATCCTTGGACTAACCGATGAGTTATGCTCATTTGAAAATGACCTTTTCAAACATCCCCTGAAAACACTGTCCATCTTAAAAACGTAGAGATATAAGAAAATGGCCAAAAAACTCCACGCCAAATCTACCATGAGAAGATTCGCCACACTTTTCTGGACATGATCCATTCAAAAAACCCTGCCCCAACCTGCCCCCGGCCTTTGGCTCAGCTTTGAACGTATCGGGTTGGCCCGCCCGGGGAGGTCCGGCTACAGGGTGGGCGCGGCGGCGGCTCCGTAACGTTACGCGGATGGCTCAACCGCTGTATTTCTGACTTGTTATATTGCAGAATACGGTCGCCAATGAATAAATCTTAATAATTTTTCAACCCTCGCCCATATAGGGGTGAGGGTGGGGGTCGAAGGACCCCTCTCGGTTTTTCGCAAAAAGCTCATGTAAAAAGCGTCCGATCGCGACGAAACTTTCAGTGCCCTCGAGTTTATCAATTTTACACCTACCCATTAAATTTCACGACCCTGACCCCAATGACCTTTGACCTGTGACCTATTTCTCGAGACCATGTTTGGCCGGAAGCGCGATTGGGCGTATGTTTGCTTGCATTAGCCGCGCGTATGCAGTCTTTTCGTGGTTTCAAGCGTCTAAACATTTGATATTATTATGTTGGTCCCATGC